CACCACATCTTGGGCACAGGTGCTGACAGTCAGTTCTTGCCCCATGAATAAGTATAATCAATAATAAAGAATAAATAATTTTTAAAAACACAAATATATTGTATACTTGAAAATTGCTGAGTCTATTTTAGGCATTCTTGCCTCAAAAAATAAGTATGTAATACATGCATAGATATATCAAAACATTGTTTTATACCACAAGTACATACAATTCTTACTTGTCAATTAAAAAAGTTAATTTAAAAAATTTTACTCTTAAATTGACCTGAACCACTGGATTGAGAAGAAATCACTGCCCAATCTAGTCCAGTCATGGACTGAAGTAGCTGTGGACATGAGAACTGAGGCAAAGGCAAGAGATTGTTATCCACTGACCTTTTGCTTTTAGTTTTATCATTTTTACTCTCTAGAATCCACAGCTTTGATCTGGGGAGAAAAAACTGATCCTGTCTAAGATGGGTTTACTTGGGGAACTAAAAGTTTGGAAGAAATTTCCTATTTCATCACTGCCTACCTCCACATAAAGTATCCCCAAAAGGCAAATAGAGTTATCACAGAATCAACTAAAATATAAAATTTGAAAACCATAATCAAGAGGCATGATCTTTTATACACAGTTCAAAAATATTGTGCACACCAGGCCCATCCTTTCTGTTTAATGTAGCTATAACCAAATCTGACACCAGATAAGACAGGGACAGAAATGAAAGTCTGTTCTTTAATTGAATTTCAGCGCACCATCTGCAAAGTTTTCATGAGCAGATGAAACTCTGGGTGATCTGCTAACAGCCCAAACAAGAAAAGGAGCTCTGTGCACATAATACGTGAACCAATTTCTCCAGCTTGGGACACTTTCAATCTCAAATTAGTGCCTTCTCACAACTGGTCATGTAAGTGGATCTCCCTAGGTACAGAAAAGTATTAACATATAGAAAATACAGTTAGTTAGCAGGCCAATCTATTCTATGACAATGGCTGTAGTTATAAAATTTTAAAATAAAAAATGTAAAACTGAAAAATTTTGTTATTGACTCATTTTGGTCACAAATCTGAAAATCTTGTACTTTGCAATGACTTCATAGATTCACTAAATTTATAGCATCACTTGGTTTTGGGTTAAGGATTTAAGGTTTTAAGGTTTTAGGTTTGGTTTTTTCAATTCATTATATTAAGAAACTTTGGGATCTAACTACTTGGACATCCCAGCTAATGCCTTTCTTTCACCTAACCTATACAGAAATGCTTCCATCTGTCCCACTAAAATATCTGAATTATTACTACCATTTTTGCAGAGGCAATTATTAGCTAAGGGGACTTATAAAAGGGAACTGAATAAGGAAGTAAGCTAATGTCAAAAACTGGGCCATGACTGTGCAAGACCCAACACGTTGAGTGAGGTGTTCCAAATCCCTTCCTCCTTTGAGGTGTTGATCTGACCCTGTATCAGCTTTCTAGCTAGGTTTCCCTGGAAACCTGATAAAAGTGGACCGTGACTGGGTGAGACTGCTTCTGGTAAAATGCCCTGGGTGGAACCCTGCATCCAAGTAGGGAAGGCTGTGCATGAACATAAACACTTGCTAGGAGCCACAGCTTGGGCTCCCTGAGTGCAGTGTACTAGTTGTTCCTGGGCCCTGTCCCTCGCCGGGACTCAGGGATGGCACATGCACAAGGGATTGTTAAAGAGGGAGTGGTTCCTCATAGCTTCTAAAGCCAGAGTGACTCCTGCACCATTCTGTGTAGTCTATGGGGACTGGTGTGATAATTCCCATGGAGGAAATGTGCCTAAAGCTGCCCTCTGGCATGCTGTCTTGCCTGTCCCATGTTCTTCAGAGTAGACTGGTGTCAGATATGACCTTTCTAGGTCTCCTTGGGAGTTCAATTGTGTAACTGAACCCAACACTAGCTGTGATGCAACCCCATCCCATATTAGCACCAAACAGGTATAGACATGTCTATCAAAAGAGTATGGGATTAGAACCAACGAAGACAAACCTTTAAAAAATGGCTTAAGACCCTTAAAGGTATCACTGAGGTTTAGGGCTGAGAATAGCAAATATAAAGAGAAAGGAGAGTATTTATTCATTAAGGAATTGTACTTAAGTTAACATTTTTACCAAACTCAGCTATTAGCTATTTCTAAATAAAGGAGCAAGGCATCATGGTATAAAGGGAGGAAATTCACCCAAAAGTCAGGAAGATCTAGGTTTCATCCTGGTTGTGAATGTAGCTGCTGTGTAGCCTTCAGTAAAGTGCTTCCCCCTACAGATGTCACTGTCTATGTGGAAGAGGAGAGGTGAGGTAGCAGGGGATGACAGAAAGCACAATTCATGTACGAGAAAAGAAAACATAACAAACAACAGCTAGAGGAAAGAAAACATCAGTTTGGCTTGTGTCTGTTTTAAGTCGTCAAACCTGCAAAACACCCAGGATTCTAGGCTTTCAAAATGAGAAAACAACTTCTTAAGCTTTTGCCTGTTGGTCTTTTAACAATGCTTCATTCATTCCTCAACAAGGAAGGAAGGAAGGAAGGAAGGAAGGGGAAGGAAGGAAGGAAGGAAGGAAGGGGAAGGAAGGGGAAGGAAGGAAGGAGGGAAGGAGGGAAGGAGGGAAGGAAGGGGAAGGAAGGGGAAGGAAGGAAGGAAGGAAGGAAGGAAGGAAGGAAGGAAGGAAGGAAGGAAGGAAGGAAGGAAGAAAAGACCACAACAATACATTGAACTTTCAGAAGGGGACAACAAACCTAAGGATGCTAGAGATGGGGGCAGGGTGGAAGGGGGTTTGGGAAGTGATGTCTTTGGGTAAAGGGCATAAAGAAAAATCACTATTTGTAAGAAAAATGTAGTAAGAAATATGCTAATGATAAATAAGAAAAAGTTTTTAAAAAGACACAATGAGATATCACCTCACACTTGTTAGGATGGCTATTATCAAAAAGACAAGAGAGAATGAGTATTGGCAAGGGTGTATAGAAAAGGGAACCCGTGTACAATGTTCATGGGAATGTAAATTAGAACAGCCATTGTGGAAAACAGTATGGAGTTTCTTCATAAAATTAATAAAGGAACTATTCTGACTTTAGTAACACTGTAATCAGAGAACATATACTGCATATCAGTTCCTTAAAATTTACTGACACCTGCTTTATAAACTAGAATGTGGTCTGTTTTTCTGATTGTTCTATCTGTGCTTAAGGATTTACAAACAAATTAAAATACACTATTCACAAAGAAACATTCTTGAGTTATTGGTACATGGTCCTATATATATCCATCAATTCAATTGGGTTCTCCAGATCCTCAGACAAAAGAAAAACTCATAAGGCTACAGAAGAAACATGTAGGCAGTACTGTGTTTGATTTATTGATTCTTCTTTTACTTCAGTTAACTTTCACTTTCTATGTTTTGAGGCTATATAATTAAGGTGCAGTCATTTAGAACTGTGATGTCTTTCCAGTGAATGAATTCTTTAATCATTATGAATTCATCCTCTTTGTCTTAATAATGTTTTTATATTAAAACTACTTTATGCGACATTGATAACTTAAACTAGGCTTCTTTAGATTAGAATTTTCCTGCATTATCTTTCCATCCCTTTATCATTGAACTTTCAGAAGGAGAGAAACATTTTTTAAGAAAATCCAAGTGTCTAACTATAGGCAAATGAAAGTTTACTATGGCTCACCCATTAGAATACCACTATGAAACTAGTAAAATGATGTTAATGCAATAGAATTACCTAATAGGCAAATTTCATGTTAAGAAAGAAGGATGGATTAAAATTTAAAGACAAAATCATTTCAACTATGTTTTTAAAAAACCTATGCACAGAAAAAGACAGACAGAAATGTTAAGGGGGACTACAAGTGGAACTTAAAGGTCTTTTTTTCCTATTTTCTAAATTTTCTCAAATAAATATCTATTTTATAATGGAAAAGAGTTAAAATTTAAGATCCACTTCCAACACATTTGTTATGAAGTTTCATAGTCAACCTTTTGCCCCTATCTTCTCTTAGTATATACTATACTAATATTAAGCTTGAAAATATCACATCAAATCAGGATGGTTGTTATTCTGAAAATGTAATTAGAAGTAATCTGGCAGAAGCAAGATTTAAATATTTTTCTTTCATTTAATTAACAGAGCCTAATATCATTCTTGACATATACTGGGTTTTTTAGCTGAATAATTAACATAATTTTTGTCCTGTAATTCATATCTCTAAAGAGCTCTGTTTCTTCATATTCCTTGCATTACCTGAAAACTCATGTTTAGACTTTCATGGACTTAAACTAAGACAAAATAAAGACCTTCAGAGCAAATTTTTGCACCAATATACTTATTTACCCTACTAACGTCTGGGAGAATAGACAGCATGTAAAATATCTCAAGACATTTATAATACTCAAATTCTAAAATATGGGAATTTAAAATTATGAAAGAAAAACTGAATCAAGGAATTTTGGTATCTTCTAGATTAACTTCTCAATTGTCTGCTTATCTGTATTCCTTCTAAAAAGATTTTATGTTGTTTCTACAAATATAAGTTCTTGAACATGCTAATTATATGTACAAGTAAATAAAATTCATAAATATATGAAAAGACCCATGTTAACTTTAGAAAAATGTTATGGTCTGAATGTTTGTGTCGCCCCAAAATTCCTATATTGAAATTCTCACCCCCAAAGTGATGGTATTAGGTGGTGGGGCCTTTTGGGAGGTTAGTAGATCATGGGGGCAGAGCCTTCATATAGGATTACTGCCCTTATAAGAGGCCTCAGAGAGCTCCCTTGCTCCTTCCACCATGTGAGGGTACTGTCTATGAATCTGAAAACAGGCCTTCACCAGACACCAAATCTGCTGGCACCTTGATCTTGCACTTCTAGCCTCCAGAACTGTGAGAAATAAATGCCTGTTGTTTATAAACCACCTAGTCTATGGTATACTATTATAGCAGCCCAAATGGATTAAGACAAAAGAGTAACATGAAAAAAGTGCTGTGACACAGTTTTAACATCACTGGTTTAATAACATGAAATACAAGTACAAAACATTGTACAAGTATATTTTTACTACATGGAGGTGGAATAATACATTTGTATTTTTATCAGAATCTGTATCACCCAGTACTAGTCACTATACCAATGGCTTTCCACAGGGATTTTTTTACTATTCCTATGAGGTTTTATCACGAATGAAAAAGCTCACAATTCCTTTCAACCATTACAGATTTACATTTATCTTAATATTCCTGTTCAGGATGCTTGGAGAACTGTTAAGAAACACAAAATCACCTTAGTAAAGAGTTTTGAATGGGTAATATTATTTCATATTGGCCAAGATCTCCCTTACATTGGCAATGCAAAGACACTGTGCAATTATTTGGGGTTAGAAAAAGCGTTGTCTCAATAGCCCTCTTACCATGTAGAAAGGCAAATTACCATTTCCCCAAATGTGAAGAATATCATAATAGTTATTGGTTAAGCAGTAATTCATGAAACCCCATTTACAGAAAGCAAACAGCAGCAACAGAGGACCATAAAGTCCCACATGTACTAAAGAAAAACAAGTTTACAAATATTCAAACTGTCTTCCCTATTTCTAAAATGGTTTAACCACATCAAGTGAAAGTAAGATCAGCCAATAAAGAGTAAATTGTGCTAGTGTCCAGCATTCAGCTTCCACAGCATACCTCACAGTTTTTAGGCATTTCAGGTAAGAGTTTTCTTATGACAGAGGGGAAAAAAAAAAAAAAAAGATGAAAGCAGCATTAACTTTGCTGGGAAATGTGAAAAAAAAAATATTGCTAATTTCATAAAATATTTGAAACAAATTTTGTTTTTATACATAAATAAAATCATGTTTATCTTTTCTTAAAGTTTAAATCATTCTTGCTGTTAAAAAAAATTACTCAAAGTTATATCAATCTTTAAGGATAAATGTTGGAATATTTAAAGTAACACGTTTGAAAAACTGAACTGTATGTTTAATTGGTAGCATTATGCTTTGTTCTTGGTAGAATCATCTTTGTTTCTTCTTTTTACATCCCAATTATAAACCCTGGCCATATCTGCAAGAATAGTCAAAGAAAATGTGAATATAATTCTAAAGATAACATATGCAATAACTAAGTATTCACTCACACAATGAGTCAAAGACATAGAAATCACACATACACAAATACTGGTGACAACTGCTGTTGTCTATGTCAATTGCTAAGAAACTACTGGAATTCTATCAAAACCAAGTCAAGGCCTCACATCAACAATTGTTTAGCATAGCTCATCAACTATGGCAATATATTTAACAAATATGTGCTAGACACTCTCAACAATTTTAAAGATGGTCCCTCATCCATGAAATCTCAAAGATGGCTCAACCCATTTCCTGCCTTGTAATATTTAAATTAGTACAATTATCAATAATTTTATTTCTTACCCTCCATTTGGTTTAACGAGGCATTCATTCAGTTTATTAAGCGTCTACCGTGTTTCTGACTAGGCACTGTACAAAGTGCTGAGTAAGACAAGTGAAGTCCTTTCCCTCATAGAGCTCAGACTCTAGTACAACAGTCAGTACATATCAGAGACTGGCTGCCCTAGCTACCTCACATGTCTGTACACCTTCCTTACCTTTACCAGCACTAGCAATAATGAATGACATTTCTCTAAGCTTGTAGGACTCATCTTAGATGATTTCCTTTCTTTTGGTTCCTATAACTATCTTAAAATCACTGGATCCTGTCTTTTCTCTCACGTTTAACATCTTTTCCTTTCCTTAAGCACCACCCCTCCTAGGCCCTCATCATCTCACAACTGGATGAAGTCTCCACATTACCAGTCAGATGATGATCCTTGAAGTAGGCCTCAAACAGGCCTGCCTTCTCAAACCCAAACACTAAATGCTTGCCCACATGCTACACACTGGAGGAGAGAGACACAATACAGCTCCTACACTAAAAGAGCTCATGCATTGGCAAAGAAAACAAAGTACTACATGCAAAGTGCTAAGTAAGGAAAGAACAACAAAACATTCTGAGATTAGAAAATGTTCAAGAATGTTCTGATGCTTGAGGTGAGATATGAAGGATAAAAAGAAGTACCCCACGTAAATAAGGAGAAAATCACTCCAGGTAGCAGGAACAAAATTTAGAAATGTGAAGGGTATGGTACATTTGGGGGGTGAGGAGAATAACGACTGGGGTTATCTGGAACCCAGGGTACACTGGGGAAGAGCCAGGGCAAGAATCAGTTAGTGGCATGAGGTGAGATTTGGCTGGGGACACTTCACAGAATGCCTGTATGCATACCTTACATGCAACAAGGAACCACTGAAATATCATACATAACCAGAAGAATAAAAATAAGATGTGTGACTTAGTAAATTCATGCTGGCAATAGTGTGAAAGACAGATGGAAGGAGGAGATTAGAAAACTACTGAGTGCAGGTTCTAGAAGAGAGTAACAGCAATAGGCAGAGAGATTTATGAGGGAAATCTGACGAGAATCTGGTCGTTGGTTCACTCTTGGTAGTAAGAAGGGAAAACTATGAAGGAAGACTCAGATTTTTGTCCTGGGTGAGTGTGACAGGAACGAGGAGGAGACAGGTCAGAGAAGAGAAACAAAGATCTTGGTTTCAAAATGCCTGTTCTCCCCTTGCCCAGAATATTCCACCTCCATCTCTTCCCTCTGCTGATCTAAATCCTACACTGCCTTTAAAAACAACCTAAGTTTTATCTTCTTAGATAAAAACAAAGCCTTCCTTGAACTAACTCCAGTTCCCATCTGTCTTTCCCAAACTTTAAATTGCCTTGGTGTGGCATACGTGAATTTATTTATAGTTTGCTATGAAACTATCATTTAGCTGTTTTACAGAGCAGTTCTAACAGAGAAAGACTTTGCCACTCTTTTTTTTTTCCCCCATTGACTTCCATGCCTCGTATGGCTCAGTGCAGTTGCAGGAACACAGGAGACCCCTTAATAAATGCTTGTGGGATTAAACTATTTAACTAGCTCTAACAGTGTCTTGGGAAAATATGTGAAAGAAAAGTACTCATTCACCAATGTGAATTTGCTGACATTTCAAACTCATCACTCTATCTGCAAACTTATTTAGGTATTCATTCCAAACGTTATTTACTGTCTTATAAAATCTGCAACCTCACATTAGCCTAAGAATAAAAACATTTTTCCCATTGCAATGCAACTAAGAAGTTACAATCAAAAATTTTTTTTTCATCTTTCTCCCCGCCCCCCCCCCTTTTTTTTAAAAAAAAGGATACTGACTTCTGTGGTAGTAAATTGATCTCGAAGAAAGTCAAGGTCTTCCTCAAGAGAATCGAGATTCTTTGTGGCAGTTGATAAATTCTTTTCCAACAATGCCTGAGCTTCATCTATATCATATTCAAGCATTACATTAGCCTGAAGAGAGAAAATCATGACAATTACTCAACATTTACATAGTGCTTTACAGGTTAGGGCAGGTTGTAGCAAACTACAGTCCTCAGGCCAAATCCAGACTGTTACCTTTTTTTTGGAAGGTAGGTTATGTTGGAACCCAGTTGCTCCACTTCTGGGCTCAAGTATATTTTTACTGCATGGAAGTGGAATAATACATTTGTGTTTCTACCAGAATCTGTATCACCTCATACTAGCCACTGTACCAATGACTTTCCACAGGGATTTTTACTATTCCTAGAGGTTTTATCATGAGTAAAAAAGCTCACAATTCTTTTCAACCATTACAGATTTATGTATTCACTCCAAACATGTTATTTACTATCTTATAAAATCTTACTCCCGCCACCGTGGCAGAACTGAATAGCTGGAACAGACACAGTGTGTCTGCAAACCCAAAAATACTATTTGGCCTTTTAAAGAAAGTTTGCTGACTCCTGGGTTAGAGAATATAGATACATACATTAATCATTTAATCCTAACAACCCTGGAGAAGTAAAAGTTATCTTCTTTACAGTTAAGAGGTCAGATTGTTTACACTAGCACAGTTAGCAAATAAATGGGAGAATCAGTAAGGCTATAGCTGCCATAGTGATGCCTCTGATGGATCTGGGCAAAGTAAATTGAAAACCCTGTGGAAATGATTCACCATTCTAGATGTCATTAAGAACATTTGTGATTCATGGGAGGAAGTCAAAATATCAACATTCACAGGAGTTTGGAAGCAATTGATTCAGCCCTCATGGATGACTTTGAGGGGTTCAAGACTTCAGTGGAGATAGTACAGATGGGGTGGAAATAGCAAGAGAACTAGAATTAGAAGTGGAACCTGATGATGTGACTGAATTGCTACAATCTCATGATAAAACTTTAACACCTGAGGAGTTGCTTCTCATAAATGAGCAAAGAAAGTGGTTTCTTGAGATGGAATCTGCTTCTGGTGAAGATGCTGTGAACACTGTTGAAACGACAACACAGGATTTACAACATTATGTAAACTAAGTTGATAAAGCAGGGGCAAGGTTTGAGAGGACTGATACCAACTTTGAAAGAAGTTCTACTTTGGGTAAAATGCTATCAAACGGCATCACATGCTACCGAGAAATCTTCCATGAATGGAAGCATCAATCCATACCACAAACAGCCACACCAACCTTCAGCAACCACCACCCTGATCAGTCAGCAGCCATCAATACTAAGGCAAGACTCTCCACCAGCAAAAAGATTATGATTCGCCAAATAAAGTATTTTTTAAATTAAGATATATACATTTTCTTTTGACATAACACTACTGCACATAATATAGTATAAACATAACTTTTATACGCACTGGGAAACAAAAAAATTCGTGTGACTCACTAGACTAAAAAATGTACTAGAAATAACAAAAAAACATAACAAATAATCCTGTCCCCCAAAAGAAAAAGAGACAAATTTGAAAATGGTTTATCCAACCACACGTGTTATCATACAACCATCTAAAAGAGAGTGAATCAGCAAAAGGAAATCAGTTCCCACCACTTTTGTCTGAAACCCTGCACGAAACCACAACTCCTTACCACAGCTAACAACATGAGCCTTTGCCCCACCATCTATCACTCTTATCCTCTGTTGCAGTACCGAAGACACATTGGTCTGGCCTTTCTGTCCCTTCAAGCTAGGTCCTGGTTTGAGGCCTTTGAACTTGCTGTTACAGGGCCTGGAAAACCTTCCTACTCCTTTTTGTAAGTAGCTCCTCTGGTCATTGTGATATTGATCAGAAACAGACAAATAGAACAAAGTAACAGAAGAGAACCCAGAAATGGATCCAGGCAGATTGAGAAAATCAATCTGCAGGGAGAGAAGGGACTGAAAATTCAATGATGCTGAGACCATTAGATACCCCTTTGGGGGAAAATCAGAGTTAACATTCTTCCTCACAGTATTTCTTATAATTTTCAGGTTAATTAGGGCTCTAAATTAAAAAAAGATTAATGGGCAAAATCAGGGGATTTTAGGAAGATGGTGGCAACAGCAGCAGTTGTTGAATCTCCCCAAGTTCCTTTAAAAAAAACCCCCACAAACGCCAACATTAAAAACCAGGATAGGGGCTGGCCAGTTAGCTCAGTTGATTAGAGCATGGTGTTCATAACACCAAGGCCAAGGGTTTGGATCTCCATACCCGCCTCGCCCCCCCAACCCCCCCCAAAAAACAGTACAGGTATATACTCAAGAAAATTGAAAATGTATGCCCACGCAAAAACTTGTACACAAATGTTCATAGTAGCATTATTCACAAAAGCCAAAAGGTGTGACAGAGTTTGGATATGTTGTCCCCCCAAAGCCTACGTCAAAATCTGATCACCAATGTGGCAGTACTGGGAGCTGTTTAGGTCATGGGGGAAGACCTCTCGTGAATAGATTATACCCTCCCTGGGGTGGGGGTGGGGGTGGGGTAGTGTTGGGAAAATAGAACAATTTAATCAGGCCCTCTCCCCTGGGGCCCAGTTGGAGGTGGTTCAGTAAACAAACTGTGTGTGTGTGTGTGTGTGTGTGTGTGTGTGTGTAGCTGGTGTGCATGCGGTGCCACCACCTTGGCTGGTGTATACCTCAGGTGGCCGCCACTCCACAAGTGGCCATGCTTTCCAACCTGCAGCTCCCAAGGACCTGTTTGCCAGTTACCTAGCTCACAGACCTGTGTGTGAAGGGATCTGGTGACCCAGCCTGGCATGTGAAGGGTTTGTGACCCAGTCTGTGAACGGGCTTGAGGGGTCTGTGAGCTCCAGACCCAGCCCTAGCTCGACAATTGGCCCAGTCGGCAGGATTACCAGCAGGTAAAAGAGCCCGACATCTGGCGTGGTTGTGTAGCTAGACAGGTAGTGAGTAAGTTCTCACTCTTAGTTCCCACAAGAGCTGGTTGTTTAAAAGGACTTTGGCACCTCCCCCCCCCCTCTCTCTCTTGCTTCCTCTTGACTTGTGATCTGCCTGCCGCTTTCTGCCATGAGTAGAAGCAGCCTGAGGCCCGTGCCAGATGCAGCTGCTCCAGAATCATAAGCCAAATAAACCTCAACTAACCTTACAACTTCCTTATACAATAGGGCCCCACAATAAGGAGGACATGCTGGGAACAGACTCCAAATAGTAACAGGGACAGCAAGATAATAGGATAGAAACAATACTGACAAAAAGTGTATGTGGGGGTGAAGGGAGTAGTGGTGCAAACAAAGCCAGGGATCCCAGCAGCTGTATGTTTTTACTGCTTTATATGAACAACCAAAAAGGAGCTCTAGAATCATTCCTCCCTTAAAGTTCAGGAAAATTAATTTTACATAAAAATAATTATGGAAATGGATCAAAGCCAAATTCAATTAAAGTTATAATAATAAAAAAAGAATAAGGAACAAAGTAACTTCTTTATACACAACATAAGCAAAGCAGAAAGATATGCCCATAAAATAGATGAAAATTATAATGTATTTCAAAACAAGATAAATAACACTAAGAGATATGAAAGAACAAACATAAACCAGAATTAGAAAACTCAGAAATAAGGTGACAGAATTCAGGAAAGAATTAGAAATAAAAGAAAAATTTATTTCAGAAATGATGACTAAACTGGAAGGAATGCAGAAGCCAATAATTACAACAGATAATCCTTTAAGATGTACAGAAGATGAGGAAATTTCTTAAAAATATAAAAATAAATGATGAGAGGAAATGTATTAAAGACAAAGTGACCAACAGTGAATATAGGCAAAGACTGAACATAAATATAACAGGAACCTCCAGAGAAGAAAACCAAAGTATGGGATCAGAAAAAATTCTAAACAGTTCATTTCAACAAAATGTTCCTGAAATGTCAGATACACGCACGCATGCACAAAATGAGACAAAATGAAAGGGTACACTGTATACCTGGGGAAATTGACTCAGAATTCCTTTCAGCATCCAGGCATAAAGAACAAGTCATTTATAAAGGAAAGAAAATCAGTTGGTCCATTGTGAATGTACTAAATGTCACTGAATTGCGCACTTTAAAATGGTTAACTTTATGTGTATTTTAACACACACAAAAAAATTAAAATAAAAAAAAAGAAAATGAGTTTGTCATCAAACTTTTTGACAGCAATGCTTCATGACTAAAGAAGATGAAGCAATGTATAAGATGCTCAAGGAAATAAAATATGAGTTGAGGATTTTACAACCAGCAAAACTGATTTTTAGGTAAAAAGGCCACAGAAGTTATTAGCAACATGCGAGAACTGAGAGAACATTGTTCCCATAAATGCTAAAGAAACTACTAGAGAATGAGTATCAGATGACCAAAATGACTGGGGGGACATCAACACAAAGACAGCAATGTACATTCAGCAATGTACATATTTACAATGGAGAACAAGGATAAATGAAGGACGAGAGAGAGAGAGAGAGCGCACGTGTGCACACAAGCGAGGGAACAGAGTATATAATGGCTCTGTGCTCCAACAATACGGGCACAACCCTATAAAGAATGGGAAAGGACAGGAAGAGCATATGGAAAAATGTCAGTGGTAGCAGTGTTGAGTGGTGTTATTCTAGGAATGCTTTGCGTGTGATAAGGAATAAAGCAAATGAGTAATATTGTCCAGTCTAATTCTATCAGCCTTGGTATTTTGGAGAACCAGGACTCTTGGCATAGAAGAAAGAAGAAAACAGAGGAACAAGTTAAGTAAAAACTCTGTTGTCCTGAATTTGAATTGGAAGTAACAGTATGAATTTATGAGGTATTACACACACATACGCACACACCAACTTGCATCTTTGTACACAAGTTTATACGTATGCTAGGTACATACTACTGGTTCTGTTTCTCCGATTGAACCCTCACTAATAACAGATTCGTTAACTTGCAATTTGTTTTATGCAGGTTTCTGATTTTTTGTTATATTTAAACATTATACACATATAGAAAAGTACCCACATCATAAACACATAACTTGATGTAT